TTTTTATTTTATTTTAAATGGTACACTTTATGTTGAACTATTTATTACGTTGTTGGTGCAACTGGCACTTTATGTTGAACTGTTTATTGTTTTGGCCAAGGTTATTGAGAGAGTTGGACTGAAATTGATTAGATTTTTTAAATCAACTGTTGGTAAATCAACAAAGTCTGTTATGGCCTCTGAAGCAACAGAGAGATGTTTTCTAATAGTCAGGGTTTCCAATGTTCTGAATGTACTTGAAAGTATTGTGTTTTACTTAAAAAACAAAGTGTTATAGTTTACAGAAGGTCTACCTACCTATAGGCTACCTGAATCTCTGAAATGTACTATATTCCTAAATATGCTATTGCTACACTTTATGGCAAAAATTTCACTTTTCTGTTGGTCTTGGTTAAGTACATCCTTGAAAAAAATAAACAATGTTTTGTTGCTTAAGCTTATGTATTCAGTCATTATTCAATGGTATACTAAAATCCATGTGAAAAAAATTGCTTCTCACTGTTCTCAGGTCAAATATTTATATGTGATTAAAAATGCGATTAATTTCGATTAATTAATTACAAAGCCTCTAATTAATTAGATTAATCTTTTTAATCGAGTCCCGGCCCTAATTATTTCAAAAGTTACACATTTTAAGGTGCAATGCACAATCATGTTAAGAAATGTACACTTGTTTTAGTATCCACCTTTAGAACAGGCTGGGACAGATAAGCATTGGAGATGCCAAATTCCGAAGGTACTATATAAGTATTTTTATTACAGAACATGCTGTTCAACTCCACAAGTTTAAAAAAAATGCCTCCATAAATCATTTTTATATCTCTAATGAGTCATGGACCGCGTCATTTTGATTCACACCTGAGCTTCCTCCAGCTGTTTGGCCATGGCTGCTGGGCTGAGTTCAGCTGGGTAATTCTTGCAGCTAAGGACTCTAGACACCAGCCTGCTCAGACGGTTCTCCAGATCACTGGTGGATGAAATCAGAGCCTCTGGAGCCCCTTCCAGTGGTTTACCCTAAGTAAATAGAAACACATCAGAGCTTGCAGTCTTTAAAATCCAAGTGAGGCCCAAGGAGACAAAACAAAGTAACAACCATGAGCTAGATTCAAATAGCAATGCTGACAGTATACAGGACTGTCTCAGAAAATTAGAATATTGTGATAAAGTTCTTTATTTTCTGTAATGCAATTAAAAAAACAAAAATGTCATACATTCTGGATTCATTACAAATCAACTGAAATATTGCAAGCCTTTTATTATTTTAATATTGCTGATTATGGCATACAGCTTNTTTTTAATTGCATTACAGAAAATAAAGAACTTTATCACAATATTCTAATTTTCTGAGACAGTCCTGTATGTTCAACACATTATTATTACCATTTCTACACTTGGTTAAACCTAGTGGTAATTTAAAGTAATACTGATACCTCTGATAGTGGACTGGTAGGTCCTGTCCCTGAGAGTAACTGTACTTCCGTGAAGACTTTCCTCATGGTGGATCCTTCTGGTTCCTCCAGAACAAGTTTCTCAGGCTTCCTAACAGTCGTTGCAGCATGAGCTTTGTTTTCCTGAGAGGGTGAGCCTTCCACCAGGGTTACCTCCCTCCAGATAATGCCAGATGTATGAACTGCCTGCAGTGATGCAGATTGTACCTTGTCAGCCGTGTTCACCTGATCCAATCGTGGATAGAAAACACAGAATTAATGCAAGATTTTGACAAACAATTGCATTCCATTTTAGTCAAGCACGATGTGAAATAATTATAATCCTTTTGAATGATCGTTGTTCTCTGGCAGTTTACCAAGCCTTACTTGCTTTGACTCGCAAGACATGCATGGCTCATATTACAACCCAGAGGCAATGAAACCATTGGTAGCACAGGTGTAGATTTCTCAAGCATACATTTGGCTTTGCATGTAAGGCTTATCAAATGTAGCTGTGTACAGTAGGCACTTGTACAGGCCTAAATGTAAAGTAAATTAAAACTAATTTAAATGTATTTCAGAAGCCCTAAAGGTACATTGATCAGTCATTGATGCTTCTTTGAAAATTGTTGAGCATAATAAAGGATTTACATAATACCAAGAGCAATACAAAAATACTTTCTCTCTCTCTCTCTCTTTCTACTCAACTTGTCAATTAATATGTAATATTATCTGCTATTGTAGTTACTGGGCTATTTTGTATTGTGAAATTGATCCTTGGGACAGTTGTTCATTGAGAGTTAACTACAAAGTTGTTCAAACTAAATTGACAGAGACCTAATGAACAGTATTGTCTACAGATGATTACCGCTAATGTCTTACCTGTGTTGCATCCATTGTCCTCACGTCAGCAGTGGTGGGAGTTTTGGCCATCGGGAGTGGAACATTTCGTTTTCCTAGATTGACCATTTTTTCCCTTTCCTCTTCCTGAGTTGTCCTCTTCTTCCCCTCATTCTTTTCTTCCTTCTCAATGTCCTTTGCATACGTTGCTTGTCTCTCCGTTAGTGCGCAAGGGACTAACCTTGGTTCAGACAGGGAATCTGTAAAGCTTTCTGGCACTTCTTTACTGGTCATCTTTACAGTCTTAACATACTTTTCATCCTGCACTTTTGTTGATACTTCAGCATGCACTTCTTGTACTTCACAATCTTTTTCCCCTTTGGGTGTCTCCTTGCTCTTCACTTCGATCATGGTCATCTTGACTGCAGCTTTATCTGGCCCAACATCAGCTGAAGTCTGGTCTTTGTTTTCTGGCACTTTCTCGACATGGATACTTGTTGGATCAATTACAACCCTTGATGTCT